ACTTTGTGGGTAACAATAAAATTTCTTTGAGGAAATTTAAAGCATGCAGCCAAATGGAGGGTAATCCCTAGGGCTGTGAGGTTACAATGTGAAAACGCCTGTCTGCCAGAGACAAGGGGGTGGTATGAGGATAGATGGTGGAAATCTAAGCTCTTGACCATGAATATAATGAAGTGTGAAATGGGAAATCTGAAAAGGGATCTTAGAATTAATGGATTTAGGAAGTCAGGACTTTGGTTGACAGTATGCTAGGCACAAAAAAACAATCTCAGAGAAGATTCTGAATTTTTAAAGATTTGTTTATGTAGACAGAACAGTTACAGATGAGAAGTGCAGGGGAGGTGAGGATTCACCAGACTGAATGGGGAGCAGAATTGAATGTCAATTGGATGTGTTTTGATATAATAAGGCAAGATGATTTTTTTTAATTGCTAATTGTTAGCCATGAAAGAAAAATGCCTCCAAAGGAAATGAAATTTGGAAAAAGGTAATGCATTTGTGTCGGTGCAAAGGTGGCATTTGAAGAGTCTTAACACTGCAAGAAAAGTTAACATTTCAAGTCTTAAGAGCCTTCTGGAAACTTGGTTCTCCACAAAACAACTACATTCATCCTTCCAGATTACTTGTGCCTGGTGTTTTGAGAGGAAGAAACAGGGAAGCTGTTCATTAAAACAAGCCTTCGCTCCCATTTTAATCTTTAATCTGCTGACACCTGAAAGTTAACCTTCAGTATATTGTTTGGTACATTACCCCTGTATTAGGGGATCAATAACTTGGTAGGAATACTGGTGTGCTGTCATACTGAAGTTTTGCAGGTTAATCCCTGCAAATGTGATACTGTTATGCAGTTCTGTGTAAGACGACATCCCTTTTGCCACTTAACCTGTTCCACATAATTATCCTGTTTTATTCCATCTTCACATACATACTTGGTTGATTTTGCTTATAAGTAGTAAAAGCAAAATCCAATTTATATGTGACACATCTAAAAATCCTATTAACTCCTTTATCACTTTGGAATACATGGCTGTCCAGAAAATGTGTCCATAAGCT